CCAATGCCAGCCTCATTCTACAACAGTGGCACCATATAGCATTTGTCCCTTTGTGACTGAGATACCTCACTCAGCATAATGTCCTCCAGGGTCACCCAAGAACTCAAATTCTCTTTAGGCATGATCGGTTCTGACTATCAAACTCACTTATTCACTCATTGCCATAGTCAAACACACTCACAGGGATATTCCATTGGATTTCCAAGGTTGTAAGTAAAATAGGAGACTGCTCATTTTTCTCCCTGAGAGCAGCTGGTAGATTTGAACAACCAAAACCCCAGTCTTTGAGTCAGGAGCCAACACTCTATGTAGTAGGCCACCAGAGCTCCCTTTCATTATGTAATTCTCAAGCAGGAGTTGGATCAGGACCCACTAGGAAGCGACCCTGGTCATCTGCTTCTAAAGCAACAAACAGGCTACTGAAAACTTTATGAATAGCAGCAGACTAATATAAGGCCTTCAGGTTAGAAAACATTCACAGTACACAATGATGGGCTTAAGAACATTTCATTATGTAATTCTCTTTAAGTCTCATTGCCAGGGAGTTGGACTCATAGTTGACCCTCCACTGGGTTTCCGAGGCTGTAGATCACAGGGAGGACACAGCTTGTCTATCTCCTACAGAGCCCCAGGTGGATTTGAAACAGCAGAGGCTTCACCTGCAGGTTGGCAGTGCAGCTCCCAAGGACTAGGCCACTTGTAGTTCTGTCAAATAGTGACCCTATGAACAGCCAACCTGAAAATTTCCCTATCATGTGCCATCATCTCTGAGACACTAGAGACCATTGCTAAAGTCACACTGTCAATAATCTTGTAGGAGGGTTTTCCTCTCTTTTGCTGACATTCCATCTTTCCAAGCATGACGTCCCTTTCCAAGGAATAGCCTTTCCTACTACATGTCCAAAGTATGAAAGACAAAGTTTTGTCATCCCTGCCTCCAAAGAGCACTCTGGCTGCACCGTTTCTAGGACATATCTGTTTGTTCTTTTGGCAGTCCACGGGATATTCAGTACTCTTCTCCAGCACCACAACTTAGGCATCAATTCTTTTGTTATCCTTATTCTCTATTCAGCTCTCTAATGTGTAGGGAGTGATTGAGAAGACCATGGCCTGAATCAGGCCTTAGGCATCAAAGTGGCATTAATGCTCTTCAGTATTTTAGAGAGGTCCCTGACTTCAGAACAGCTCCTTTTTTATCACAGGAGGACACTCTTGATCTTTCACCTGTGAAGGAGACGGTAGATTTGAACTGTGGGCATTTAGGTTGGCAGTGCAACTCCTTGCCACTTTACCATCAGAGCTCCTTTTTCACATAAGGATCATCTACGTTGGAAAATCCAAGTGATGTAGAAAACATAAAAATCTCAATACTACATTGAAAGTCCCTTTGTAAAAGCTTATTACTTCACTACGCCCTACAAGCCCTTACAGGACTACCATTATCAATCACTCTAGTCTTCTGTAAGAGGCTAAGACAGTAAGCATGAGTCAGCAAATTTATAGCCCAAATGAATATGGACAGAGCCAATTGAGAACCCAAGATATGGGGCACATCACCACTGACACTAGACAAAAGTGCATCTAAAATATGTCATAGCTTTCTTACTCTAAATTATTTTTGGTAAAGGATATTCTTAACTTCCCTCATAAATGTGCTTCATTAGCTAATTTTCTAGTAAGTCTTCTTAAAAACTGTTCTACTCTTCTTGCTTGGGTCTTCATCTGTCACAGGGAATTAAAAAAATATGAAAGGATGTATTTTCTAGTAATTATTAATTCAAATAGTTCCTGATTTTAAAAACTAGTCTTTGATCTATTTACTATTTCATCCCATTTATCTTTTGATAATGATAAATGTTAATACATAAGAATTGGGAGGGCTCCTGTTTGCCACACTGTGGTGGCTTCCATGTTGCTGGAACACTGGAAGCTACGTCACTGGTATATCAAATACCAGCAAGCTGAGGTTCCCAAGCAGGGCCCACTAGGAAGCAATCCTGGTCATCTGCTTCTAAAGCAACAATCAGGCTACTGAAAACTTTATGAATAGCAGCAGACTAGTATATGGCCTTCAGGTTAGAAAACACAGTGCACAATCATGGGCTTAAGAACATCAGAGATTGAGAAGATAGTGCAGAATCAGGTGGTATTTCGCTCTTTTATAATCAGAGTTGCTATGAGTCAGGGCTAACTTGATGGCATCTAACACCACCACCAGGACTCTTGTATACAGAGAAGAGGTTTTTAAAAGCACAATTTTACTTAGAACATGCTAAAGTAGAAAACACAAATATGCTGGGGGAAAACAGGAAGCTTGGAGCTCTATTCCAAATAAACCATACCTGCAGCAATCTCAGTTTCCTTCTTCGTTCATAATCTTCCTTCAAAATAAAGGCTTCTTCATTGGGACTCAGTCGAAGCCTGCCAGCCTTTACCACTTTTCTTTTCATTTTTGTGCACTTAAAAAGTTTTGATTTTAAAAAGAAAAAGATAAAAAATATCTTTAAGAATATATGCCATTAAATGAGGCAGCAAAGATTAGAGGATTTTTAAAATGCATGTTAGTGTTTTTGACACTTACAGGGGTAAACACATGCAAATACAATAGTAACTGGGTAAATATGCAGTTATTGATTCAGCTCTTGGATCAGCAATTCTCAGACGGATGAAAGAGAAGAAGTATAGACCGGAATTATGAGGACATAGCCATTTTTCTCACCCACAGCAAATGACTGCTTACTGAAGGGGACTGAAACCTGACCTATTCCTGACTGGTAGTTTCAGAGATTACCAACTTTAAATGTAAAAAGAACATTATGTATAAAATGTTTTCACGTAAGTTAACTGAAGAATGTGCTGACCTACTACATAAGTATATGTCATTTTCATTACTATCAGGTTTCTGGTGCTCAAAAAGAGTAACTCAAGTTTTAAAACTTGCATTTAAAAAATCTTTTACAATGATCCCACTCATTCGATACAATGACTTTGATAGTACTGACAGATGCCTATTGTTTTCCCCATTTCAGAGGTGAACAAAGGTCTCTTCAGTTCAAGGATTTGACCTAAATGATAATATTCACTGGCAGAGCCAAGGAAAAGAATTTTGGTTTCAACTCTCTGATACACTAAAACTGATAGCAACCACTAAAGGACAGGACATTTTCTTTATTCTGGTATCTTTTTCAGTGAGAACTAAAGAACAAAGGAGGAAAAGTAGACAAGATTGAATTTAGACCTCAAAACATAATATTATTCATTTGTCTGAAGATCTTTGAAAATTTGCCTACAGTTAAACGATAAAAGTGAATCCTTGGTAAAATGTCTGAGAAAATATACCTTAATAAAATAAGCCAGAAGCAAAAGAGAACACACTGCAAAATTTCATTTGTATGTCCAAAACAAGCAACACTAAGCCATGACGGCAGAGGTTGAAACAGGGGATACCTCTCTGGGATTGCTGACTGGATGGGGGCACAAAGGCACCTACTAGAGGGCTAGAAGGGAGCTCTAGTGACCTTGTGGTAAAGGCAAGCGGTTCGAACCAAACAGCTGCTCTGTAGGAGAGAGATAGGCAATCTTCTCTTGTGTAACTTCTTGTGTGCCTTCAGGTCAGAACTGACCCATAGCTGACCCCCAGCATATTTTCAGAGGTGGTAAATTGCACAGAAGGAGATCGTCCATCCTTCTCCAGAGAAGCAGCTACTGGATCTGAACTATGTTCCTTTGGGATTGCTTCTCACCATGAATCCACCAGAACTCAGCCTCTGAAACTGGTCCAGCTGAAGGGTCGACTATGAATGAGTTGGTTCAGACTGGACGGCCAAGAAAGAGAGGATGCTAGAAATAATGTGTATCTTGATCTGTGTAATAGTTACACATGTGTATACATATGTAAAAATTAAATTTACCAGATGGTACACTTAGAATCATCATTATCATTTAAAGACATCTAAGGGAGCTCTGGTGGCCTAAGAGTCTGTTCCGACTCAACAGTACACAACAAATTTGTTATTTCTAGCACCTGGGATATTACAGAGTAACTGTTTCTGTGAGTGTATTTTATAAAACCAACTTGTTATTTGGAAGTAATCTTGGATTTAAACAAGAGATTTACATTGGTACTATAGTTTGATCAATCTATAGACTTTATTTAGTGTGTCAACTGCCCCACTCATGTCTACTCTTTGGACCAGCAACCAATCTAAGAACATATACTGAATTTTAGTCTAGGTTTTCCAAGAAGTGAATGACAAGGTAGGATAAAACCCAAAAACTTGATGAGGGAAAATGAGAAGTAGCTAGTAAACTGGGAGGGCCTCAGACTTGAAGTCTAACATTAAGTGAAGGAGGGAAGAGAAGCCAGGCTGATGGAACAGACAGCTACGTTATCTGAAAGCAGCTCAGCAAGGCCTCTAGGATTTCAAAGTGTACCAGTTGGAGCAGCTGACCAATCTATACTCCATATTTATTTATTTATACTCTCAGGTTGCCAAGACAGCCATATCTCTTATAATCTAGGACAGTCCCTCATTCTGGTTTTTTCCTTTCTTTTCACATTGACATTTTGTTAAAGACACTGGTCAGTTAGTTAGCTGAATGTCCTTTAAACCAGATTTGTTTAAATTGAGAGTTTTGCCAAGAGTAACATGGAAATGATGATGTGCCTTTCTCAGTGTATCAGATCAAGAGATAAAGGATGTTGATGTGACTACCAGTCATAGCATCAATTAAAGTGAGTTCTACCAGGCTTCTCCACTGGAATGTTACTACTTTTCTCCTGTGAATCATGAGTACCTGACCGACAGCTCTGGAGGCAATATGGTTACATGTGTCTGCTAACCAAAAGGATGACGTTCCAATCAGACAGCTGCTCAACAGGAAAAAGAAAAAGATGAGGCAGCCAGCTTCCCTAAAGAGTCACAGCCTTGGAAACCATCTGGGTGGTCATGCTCTGTCCTTCAGAGCTGACAGTGGTGAACTTTCAGTTTGGTGGACATATACGTTGAGATTAGGTAAATATCCTGCTTCGAAAACCCTCCAGTGGGTTTTCAGAGGCTGTAAATCACATGGGATGAGACTGCCCATCTTTCTCCCTTGGAGCAGCTGGTAGATTAGAATTCCCCACCCATTAGGCTTCCTTATATGTTCATTCTTCCTTCTACACTTACTAACTGGGATGCTACTTAAGAAAGTTTTTTTCCTTGTTCCCTCATTTATTTATTCAGATCAACATGGATTCTTTTAAAACTGTATTCTTGCTACCTTTTAACAGGGATCAGTCTACTTTTCTTGCAAGATTTTTCTTCTAAGAACGAAACAGGGTTGTGCATACAACTGTTGTAGTAAGTAATAGGCAGCTAACCAAAAAGTCAACAGGCCAAATCCACTAGTTGAACCAAGGGAGAAAAATGAGCAGTCTCTTGTGGCAAAGACTTACAATTTCAGAAAGCTGATGGAGGGTTGCTTTAAGTGGCAGCCGAGTGGACAGCAGTGGTAGGTATGGAAAAGCAATTACTCAACAATCATCCTTACATTTGGGTTAAGATCCAACACTGCCTGCCACTTACTAGTACGAAGACAACATCCAGTTCACTTAGTCACTTTGAGTCTCATGTGCCTACCCTGACAGCTGGTTGTGATGACTGTGAAACTGTCACACATTCTTAGAATTAAAGACTCTGACGCTGTGCATTGGTTTTAAAGATTCATTTGTGACAGGATTGAATATACAGAAAATTAAAGGCAACAGACACATAAACAGCACGCTATTTGTAGGAAAGGCTCTTAAAAGGCTACCAGGCTTCAAGCCACGTCCAAGGGAGATCGGAGAACGGGTCAAGCGATGGCAGGACGCACTGCGAAGCGTTCGCAGCAGGAGTGCAGCAGAAGGTGCAATTCACCCCACGATTCCAGACGCTGCAAAGCAAACGCACCCGGGAACGGTACGCCAAGGGGTAGGGAGAAGCATCTAGCACCAAGCTGAGACGTCTGGACTAGGTGCTCTTTACTTTAGTCTCACCTGGACCAAGACCTGCAAATACGGTCGCTGCGCGGGCCTTCGGGGCATCCTCTAAGCGAACTCGCAGCATCCCGGGTCGTGCATGCAGGGCTAAAGGGAGGCCGGGGAGCCACTCACCTGAGAATGGGGGGCTGGGGTTAGGAACTCGACATCAGTCGACGGAGGCCCTGACAGCCAACTGTACTCGTCTTTAAAACAGCCGTTTGGGCGACTGTGAAGCTGCCATCGCTGCGCCATCGTCACTTCCGTCTTTCAAACCGCCCGCCAATGGCGGGACCGAACGGCGGGATGGAGGAACCGCCTCCCGCGGGGGCCGCCGGGAGGCCGCGCGGAGTTGAAGTCCAGTGACCTCCGCGTGCTGTTGCTTTGTGCGTCTAAGGCTACTGGAGCGTTATCTCCTGGGAGATGTGGCTTTGAAGTTTCTGTATCACTCGTATTTTAAAAGATAGTTATGTAACATAGCTCACTTTAAAGATTGT